TTAAATTACTCAAATACTTCTTTGTCTTCATTTTAAACTGTAATGTCTTATCATTTAAAACCTACCAAACTTCTTTTTGTGGATGGCTATCTCTCTTTAATATAAGAGCCATTTGCTTCGACATTTTGTTTTCTAATGTTTCTGCCATTTTGCTTGGTGTTTTGTATGAATGTGATTGCATTAAAAGGAGAACTTGTATACTTACATGTAGTCTACTTTCGCTGACACTGTCAAAAAGGTTACGATTCTACTTTATGTTATCATTGAGGTCACAGTGGATGGTGGTGTCGTGCTGGACTGTGTTATATATTGAATCGTGTTTCTAATATTTTGTTCCCACCATCTATGTAAAAACTCCAAATTATTCAATCACCTCATAAACCTAAAACCATTTCTCAATGCCAGAGAGCTCACCTGAGAGGCTGTAGCTCCACCTTGCTGTGTTTTCTCTGTACTGCTGCTGCCAGGATCGTCCTAATAAAAACATGCATACACAAACAAATCAGTTAGACATGTTGTGGCTACTTCTGAATAGAAATGATACCCACGTAAGAGGTATGGCTTAACTCTAACCAAAATTAAGGCTACACAAGTCACAAATATTAAAGATGATAAATGTCTGTTAAGCCTTCTTCACTTTCTTTTTCGTTCCTGTCTTGTGCTTTTTGGGAGGCATTTTCACCTAACATCACAAAAATAAAATTAGTTGATGTTAAAATGACATGTTTAAGCAATGCACAGGTGTTGGCTAACTCACACCTTACACCTAATTTTCAAATTAAAAAATTGACTGATGTTCATTTTATCAAACAAAGACAATTCAGTGGCACCTTGACATTGATAAGGACATGTTGCTACCAGCCCACTGAGTCAGTTATACACAGTTTATTCCAGAGAGATCCTGGTTGGGGAGAGTTGAGTCACCTTGGCATCCAGTACACAAACAGACTGTGATGGTTAATTCACCCAAACTCGTAGGGAGTGGTTACAGAGCAGTACTAGGCTCTGGGGACTAAAGGAGCGCAGATTTTCACTCTGTACAACAGATAGACAATAAAGATCAAATTTCAGGACATAGCCAAATTTGCTAAATGTGTAATAAACAAAGAAATGACTCACTGTCAGCACACAGTATGGGCTGGTAACAAACAAGTGTCAAGGGCATTGGGCAGTGCAGTCAGATCCTTTTTACCGCACACCAAATCAGACAACTAATCTATGTCGCAATTTCCAACCTTTTGCTTCCCGCTCTTTATGTTTAACCCATTCACACTACTGCGATGTGCCTGTGCTTTTACTTTACTTTCCTTCACACATTTTGTCCTTCCTTGTTTCTTCTGCCTGTCACCACTTTGTCCCATTTTTAATATCCTTATCCTAATATCCTTTCCCCTCCCTCTCAAAAACACAATGATAATACAGATCAGTTAAGTTTCTCTTTCCTAGGAACCACCAAACAGGAAGCTGACTTCAGACCACATTTCCTTACTGAACTCAAGTGGTGCCAAGCTATTCAGTTGTGGTTTTATTTGCCAGAGTTTTGACAAATGCCACTAAATTGAGATTATTGCAAGATGTGATATATAAATAAATAAAATGAAATGCCTCACTGCAGTGCTGTTCAAAGGGGGTTCAATTAAAGTAGATAAGTGATGGTAAAATAAAAATAAAAGATCAATCCTTTACTTTTATGGAAAAATCACTTGTTTCAGAAGTTCACCACACAAAATGGCTTGAATTTCAATCACTATGTACTTATAAATGTAGCTGCTAACAACTGGCAAGCTAATACAAAATTTAAGCTTAAATTCTTGGTGACTTTACCTGTTAGTTGTGGATGTACTTTGTTCTGGTCACAATGGCGCCAGAGTCCAGAAAAAACGACCAAAATTCCTCCTCTCAGGTTCAGAGCAAACACCTTCAGTTTTATAAACCAGCAGATTACGTGGACGAAGAGTGGATTTGAAGATTCCCGCCGTATGACAGGGGCACTAAAAAAATATTATAATGAATCAATGTGTGCAGTATGCAGTAAAAGTAGTTTTACTGCATATCTGTGGTTTCTCAAGGTACTGTGTTTGTTATCACTACATAAAAGATAACTCACCGTGGAATCCAGACAAACAGGCTCAGGCTACAACAGGTCGAACTCTCAGGTAGGGGCTGAAGCACTCACTGCTGTAGGTTTATAAGCATAATGGATGGAGACAACTTTCTTCGAAACTTGAGCAAGAGAAAGAAAATATAATTACATTTGTTATTCGATTAATCAAAATGAACTAAGTAGTTAACATTTTTAAGGGTGTTTTGCTTGAAAACATGGAAACATCATCTTACATTTTATTCTATTCATTATAGACAACACCATAATTATAAAACCTGTAAATTAAAAAAATGAACTTGGGTGTCTTACCTTGGATTTGGTTGAAGAGGTATAACCCAACTTTCAGTTCAGCAGTTTATAAAGCAGTTGTTCCTCCCACACAAGTACTGCGTTTCTATTGGCACTGCCAGGCTTTACAATGATGTTAGTGCCTCCTTGTTTAGCTGTTTTACCTTGGAGATATAACTCTGTGATCACCTTGTTACATCCAACCTCGTATTCCCCAACAAGTCTATCAAAATTTTAACAATTTGTACCAAAACATACCCTACAGTAGTAAAGCTTACAGTCTTTCGTTAGCATTAACCATAAAAGTAGTAGCGTATTTACCTTTTTACTTTAGTGGCAAAAAAGGAAGTAACGCATCTTACATACGGACACCTTACTGTCTTTACATTGGCTCGCTGACCGGGGGTCTCCATATGTTTGTTGGCCACTCTCGCAGTGGTCTCATTTAAATGAATGAGGGATCTGCATTTTTTCCATGCAAAGGCAAGTTTATTAACAAAAAAACATTCAGACACAAGGCAATTCAAAATGGTTTACAGAGGCAAAGAATTATATAAAAAAGACCTTAAGTACATGATATATAGTTCTTACTTTTATTTAACCCTTATTTTACACCAGGCAAGACATTAAGAACAAATATGTTTATGGCCTGGAATTTCATTTAAAACACAAAAACAAAGCATTTCAAAAGAGGTTTACAGAGGCATAGAATAAGTAAAAACATTTAAAATAAGATAGATAAAATAAAATAGAAAACAAGCAATGGCTGGCTGGCCTCAGCTGCTTTCTAAGGTGTGTCTCAGCACAGGAAGAAAGTCAAGCCAGATGTGTTTAGCGACTTCCTGGAGAAGCTAATTTATACCTAATTTGTCTCCATTGGCTCCTCATGATTTGCTCTCTCAGCCTTGAGTACCTCTTTTAGGTGCTTGTTTTCCTCCGCTTCCTTCTCAATTCTCGTCAACAGCTGCTCTTTTTCCTTTTCCATCAGATTACCCACAAACTTTTTAAATATAGTAAGCAGAGGATGGGCGTACTCTATAACACTCTCTTTACGCTTTGGGTCGAATATACTGGTATCGTAGGTAAATCCTGCAGAGTGCAAACCAACAACTCGGCCAAGAGCATCAAACACTGGGGAGCCAGAGGAGCCGTGATACATGAAAGTGTTATAGGTCACTACTTTTTCTGCATCCCTTCCACCCATCATTATGTTTTCAATGCCTTGAGCTTTGAGCACTTGATTGATTGACTGGATGATGAACTTACTGTCTGTGTAAGGCTGTAAATGATCATTGATAGCCTTTAGCCTTTTCTCTTTCTCAATGATACATGTAGAATCCATTTCTTTCAGTCTTCCCTCTGGGTGACCAATGATACAGGCTTCACCCTTCAGAGGCAATGGACCAAATTTCTTCAGGAGCCCTGGTGGTACTTTTATTTTCTTTGGCTTTCTTCTTTGTTTGTTGCTTCGGCCCTCAGGGTTGAGCTCCAGTATGGCATAATCTAGCTCAACATCAAAGTCAATTAATGTTTTCTCACAACTGAAGTGGTAGAAGTTTGTGTCAGGCTCAGGATCATCATAGTTAAATAGAGCCCACACATCTACATCCAGCTGCAACTTTTTGACATCAACCTTATCTTCAAATAAATGTGCATTAGTCAGGATAAAGTTATCAAACAGCACAAAGCCTGTTCCCTGACAAACATCCTTAACAACGACTTTACAAACTGACTCGCCCAGTTTCAGCAGATTCCTGACTCTGTGAACTTCGCTAAAAGACTGTTGGATCTTTCCAAAGTCTTCCTTCCTCAGGGTCAATTCTTCCTCATACGAATTACCAGAGAATCTTTCCTCCATCCATTTTTTCAGATCTGGAAACTGCTGGCACAGTATCTCATAAATCTCGTCTGTGTTGTCGCTGCCCGACTTTTCTACTGCTGTTTTTACACTGACTCCACTCTGCTTCACTACATCTTCGACTGACCTTGTCTCATGCTCGTTTTGTAAATTATTTGATGCACCTTCCTTTTCCTGTTGTTTTTCATCACTTTTTCTCTTGTTCAGTGGAAGACATATCTTGAGTAATTTCTGATCAAGGTTGTCAACTGTTACTGTACAGTCAGTGAGAATATTTGGATTCTCATTGTCAGACAGACTAAATTTGCCGAGGTCATCAATGAAGCGACCGTCTCTTTTCAGAGCTGCTTCCACAGTCATACCCTTCTCTCCATAAACACAGAGAGTCTTGTACTGTTTGACAACACTGCTTCTAAAAAGCTCCTTTGATTTGGCGTTCACGCCTCCTATGGTATCTATGAAGAAGACTATATATCTGTCTCTTGGATAAATTATTTTGTTCTGTTGCTCTTGGGCCTCTTCGATCGTTTCTTTTTTACATGATATGATCAGACACTCATCATCACTGATACAAGAACAAGGGAAATGTGTTGGCACAATAGATTCCTTATCCTCTTTACCCAGCTGAATTATAACTTTTGCATCTGCACATTTAACCTTCTCCTTGTATTTTTCAGTTGATTTTATTGCCTCGAGCACCGTGCAAGGTTGATGACAGTTCACGGTGTATTCCTTAGGGCCATGTCGACTGAATTTCACTGTGAAATGATGTGAATGTTCGCCCTGCAGGAAATCAGCAGCAAAGCAAAGGTTAGATGCCCTTGTTCTGATAAAAATGCTGCTTATTCTGTGCATCACAGTCTACTCACGTCAAAGCCATTCTCTTCCTTCACTTTCCATTGAAAGCCTGTGGCATTCTGCAAAATGAGAAAAAGATTTAGAGTTAATGTTAAAAAATCATGAACCTCATTCATGAAATGTTCAAAGTAGTAGCACCAGTAGCAAAATGGCACAATGATTTCAAGAGCGGCTTCTTATTGCATTTTGTGCTCATGCACGAGGAGCAACTAATTGATTTTAAATTACTCAAATACTTCTTTGTCTTCATTTTAAACTGTAATGTCTTATCATTTAAAACCTACCAAACTTCTTTTTGTGGATGGCTATCTCTCTTTAATATAAGAGCCATTTGCTTGTGTTTTGTATGAATGTGATTGCATTAAAAGGAAAACTTGTATACTTACATGTAGTCTACTTTCGCTGACACTGTCAAAAAGGTTACGATTCTACTTTATGTTATCATTGAGGTCAGAGTGGATGGTGGTGTTGTGCTGGACTGTGTTATATATTGAATCATGATTCAATCACCTCATAAACCTGAAACCATTTCTCAATGCTAGAGAGCTCACCTGAGAGGCTGTAGCTCCACCTAGCTGTGTTTTCTCTGTACTGCTGCTGCCAGGATCGTCCTAATAAAAACATGCATACACAAACAAATCAGTTAGACATGCTGTGGCTACTTCTGAATAGAAAAGATACCCGCATAAGAAGTATGGCTTAAGTTTAACCAAAATTAAGGCTACACAAGTCACAAATATTAAAGATGATAAATGTCTGTTAAGCCTTGATTACAGAAATGGTTACTTACACTTTTCTTCGGAAAAAAGGAACTGATATCCTTTTGCCCTTTGTGCTTTTTGGGAGGCATTTTGGGAGGCATTTACACCTAACATCACAAAAATAAAATTAGTTGATGTTAAAACGACATGTTTAAGCAATGAACAGGTTTTGGCTAACTCACATCTTACACCTAGTTTTCAAATTAAAAAATTGACTGATGTTCATTTTATCAAACAAAGACAATTCAGTGGCACCTTGACATTGATAAGGACATGTTGCTACCAGCCCACTGAGTAAGTTATACGCAGTTTATTCCAGAGAGATCCTGGTTGGGGAGAGTTGAGTCACCTTGGCTTCCAGTACACAAACAGACTGTGATGGTTAATTCACCCAAACTCGTAGGGAGTGGTTACAGATCAGTACTAGGCTCCAGGGACTAAAGGAGCACAGAGTTTCACTCCCTACCACAGATAAACAATAAAGATCAAAGTTCAGGACATAGCCAAATTTGCTAAATGTGTAATAAACGAGGAAATGACTCACTCTCAGCACACATTATGGGCTGGCAACAAACAAGTGTCAAGGGCATTGGGCAGTGCAGTCAGATCCTTTTTACCGCACACCAAATCAGACAACTAATCTATGTCGCAATTTCCAACCTTCTGCTTCCCGCTCTTTATGTTTAACCCATTCACACTACTGCGATGTGCCTGTGCTTTTACTTTACTTTCCTGCCTTTCCTTCACACATTTTGTCCTTCCTTGTTTCTTCTGCCTGTCTCCACTTTGTCCCATTTTAATATCCTTATCCTAATATCCTTTCCCCTCCCTCTCAAAAACACAATGATAATACAGATCAGTTAAGTTTCTCTTTCCTAGGAAACACCAAACAGGAAGCTGACTTCAGACCACATTTCCTTACTGAACTCAAGTGGCGCCAAGCTATTCAGTTGTGGTTTTATTTGCCAGAGTTTTGACAAATGCCACTAAATTGAGATTATTGCAAGATGTGCCTACTTGTTCACAGGTCATATATAAATAAATAAAATTAAATGCCTCACTGCAGTGCTGTTCAAAGGGGGTTCAATTAAAGTAGATAAGTGATGGTAAATTAAAAATAAAAGATCAACCCATTACTTTTATGGAAAAATCACTTGTTTCAGAAGTTAACCAACAAAATGGCGTGAATTTCAATCACTATGCGCATATGAATGTAGCTGCTAACAACTGGCAAGCTAATACAAATTGAAATAAAATTTCTTGGTCACTTTACCTGTTAGTTGTGGATATATACTTTCGTTGTTCTGGTCACAATGGCGCCAGAGTCCAGGAAAAACGCCCGAAATTCCTCCTCTCAGGTTCAGAGCAAACACCTTACACCTTGCAGTCCAGCAGATTACGTGGACGATGAGTGGATTTGAAGATTCCCGCCGTATGAAAAGAACGGGAAGGTTTGGACGATCCTAATAGTCCGTGACTGACAGGGGCACTAAAACAATATTAGAGCATTAGTTAATTTTCATCAGTATTAAATTATTCAATCAATCGTCATACATTTAATATTTTATTTGTTAAATACTCATAAAAGTAACGGTTTCATTTTCTTTTCTTGTTCTTGGCAAACAGTAAATATTCAGAGAGCCTCCGTATCCCCCCTCTACTTACATGAGATGGTTCGGTCCTGCTCCCACAGAAGGCACGGGCGATACTTCTAGAAAAATCTAGAAAGACCATAGGCTGCACAGGGAGAGACAGTACGTGACTTTTCTGAATTAACTTGTAAGCTTAGCTGTAAATAGTGAAACATGGTACTTCTGCTCCCCTAACACCAGTTACATTCACAGAAAATAATGAGTGTATATTTTACATTAAATCAATGCAGGATTTTTTTTTTTTTTAGCAGGCTTATCAGTTGACTGCTCCTGATTCAGCAGATTTATACTGAGTGCCTAATATTTTGCCAACCCTTAATTCGTGTAAATGTGATGGACAAAGTATTAGGAACACCTGTCAGTATAACCTAGTACAGTTCAACAGCTTCACATATTACACCCTCCAAAAAGACTACTAAAACAAACATCATTTTTGACCGATTCAATAAAGAATTGAACAAAATAATCCTCATTAAGATAAGATTTATTGCAAAGCGGTTGAATTACACTGCTTTAGTTTCATCTAGATGTACCTAATAAATTGGCAGGTGAATGTAAATTTATTTCATCGCTGTGTTGGACTGTAATCCTATCCCCTGAAGTGGAGAATCAGTATTTCAAAACCTAAGATGAGGTTGACATGGATTTATTTCATCACCGGAACAAAAAAACAAATAATAATAATAATAATTAATTAATTAATAATAATGATTTATGCATCAACAAGGAAAATATTAGAAACAATATAC